CTGGAGGGGGGCAATTAGCTGGTCTTGCCTAGGGTGCAAAATAGTCTAGCACCGGCCCTGCCCATTATACACTAAATGTGGATGATGCGACACTCATGGTCAACCTGTCAACAGAGGTTTGTACCAAAGCAACAGCTGCACACCTTACTGAGCATCTAATGGCAATAGATATCATGACGTCATTCATCCAAAACATCACATACATAAGAAACGTTTTTTGGCCTGTGGGAGCATAACGGGTAAAGAAATGATCCCTCGTGATAACAAAAATAGACATAAAAATAAATAATAATGCCTTCCTTATATTGTAAAGCGATGCGCAAACTGTTGGCGCTATATAAATACTATGTAATAATAATGTGAAAACACAAATGGTTTCTTGCAATATTTGGATCTTGGGTCTGCCTGTACCAAAAGATCTTTAATAGTCTTACTGCGTTTATACACATTTAAAGGCCTATTTTTTGCAATGTTGGATAGGCTCCTTAGAGATAATGCCCATGTTACATTGCCAGTGTAAGAGATAATGCCCATGTTACACTGCCAGTGTTAGAGTATGCCCATGTTACATTGCCAGTGTTAGAGAGTATGCCCATGTTACATTGCCAGTGTTAAAGGAGAACTATGGAGTCAGTGTTTTTCCCCATAGTTCTCCTTAGGGTAACTGGAGGACACAAACTAGCGTCCTCCCGTTACCCTAAGCTCAGTATACCGCGAGCTACAGCTCGCGGTTTACTGAGACGCCGCAGCCAGAGCGGATCCTGACGTAGATGACGGGATCCGCCCAGCTGCGTGAGTGACAGCTGGCTCTGCCTATCTAGAGGCAGAGCCAGCTGTACCCGCCCCCTCCCCCGTCCGTTCCGCCAGTCAGCGCTGGCGGATCGGAGCGGGGAGGGGGGAATCCAGCCCCTCCCCTGTCACGGCAGAGAGCCGTGACAGGATCGAGAGGTGAGCGAACGCCGGTATGTGTTCGCTCACCTCCCGATCTGCTGAGCCAACCTGTGACAGTCTCATTGTCACAGGTCGGCTAGAACTATGAGGTGAGTGGAAATCACTCATCTCATAGTTCTCCTTTAAGGAGATTGCCCATGTTACATTGCCAGTGTTAAGGAGATTGCCCATGTTACATTGCCAGTGTTAAGGAGATTGCCCATGTTACATTGCCAGTGTTAAGGAGATTGCCCATGTTACATTGCCAGTCTTAGAGAGAGTGCCCATGTTACATTGTCAGTCTTAGAGAGAGTGCCCATGTTACATTGCCAGTCTTAGAGAGAGTGCCCATGTTACATTGTCAGTCTTAGAGAGAGTGCCCATGTTACATTGCCAGTCTTAGAGAGAGTGCCCATGTTACATTTCAAGTCACATTGGGGCATTTACACAGCTTACCATTCAAAACACACTCCCATAATGGACATTTACAATACAAATGAGTAAACTAAACCTGAGATTGTAGTCCATCACGGGAGCGAGCTTGGAGCGGTGGCTACTTTACAACACACACAGGGACCATGGGGAACAAAAGTAGCCACCCTCCAGAAGGAAGGACAGTGTCCGCACCAATTCAGAGATGATTTGAGGATCTACAGCCGAGTGATACACAAATAAGACACAGTCTTGGTACTTGGAGGCATTTTTAGGATTTATCTCCTGAGTTTTGTGTCACTTTAATGATGTGATAATAATTTCGGAGCTGCATCAATCAGTCTTTTATATCTGGAGTTCATCTCCGGTAAACCAAAAAGCTGCCCTTGTAGTGGGTCAGCCCCTGCACTGCCACGGTGAATTGTTGGTTTATGCCTAAGGAACAGGAAAAATACGTTTTACTTACCTGATCCCCGCTCCCTGCAGCTGGCTGCTAGACCGGTCAATGCAGCTTTTCCAGGACCACTGACATTATCACTTCTAATGCAGGTCCCATAAACCTATATAAAAGACGTGAGGACACCAAGGAGCGGAGGGGGAGAAGAGAAAAACAACTGTGGGGGGAGCAGGGATCAGGTAAGTAGCTCTCCTGGGCATGAACAAGCATCTCACCCTTGCAGTTCAGGGGCAAACCCACACCAAAGGTAGCTTTTTTTTTTCCAGAGACTGGCTTTAAAAAAATAATAAACTCTCAAACTTTTGTTTTCAATAATAAATGCACATTATACAAATATCAATTAGCCCGCAAAGTAGACCTCCAAGTCACTCAGCTCAGCTTCCCTGAACTTCCTGTCCAGTACAAGATCACAAGAGACAGAGCAATCTCCAGCAGCTGTCCATCTACTAGCTTGAAGAAGAGGGAGGAAGGAGGAGCAGGAAGCGTCTTGCCTTGCTGTGTCTGTATTTGTGGAGACACACACAGTTTACTAGCACACACAAGGGTGACTCCATAGGACCCTGCAAGGGGAAGGAACCACCCTAAAACAAGTCAGGACCAGTGCTCAGGGGATCAACTGTTTCTGTAGAAAACTAAAACTTTTAAACATCAAGGAGCAGCATCCACTGGAAGTGATTAATCAGCATTTGCAATAGTTTCAAAACCTTATGACTTTATTATCACTTTGATGGCCTATCTATTCACATGTTGTGGTGCATTGTTACATGTGCCTTATGCCACACCGTAACACTTTCGAGCAGCCGTGACGCACCACAAAAATTTTCATGAAGCAATTCCGGAGGTGCATCACATGTCCATCCACAAGCTGTATTGGGGTGCCATCATGGGCGTATCTGCCAAAGGGCGTTTGCCTTGTGCGGCAAGGATCTTGCAGAGCCCCCCAGACCCAGCTTTCCTGCTATGCTAATAGCGGAACATGTCAAAAGCTGAATACAATGTGTGCACTGTATCCAGCAACTGACAGGTTACACCAAAAGTCAAAAACAGGGAGGGGTGGGGCAAATTTAGTGGGGCGAGGGGGGTGCCGAGTTTCATCTTGCCTAGGGGAGCCCAAAACCAGAACACATCTTGCCTAGGGGAGCCCAAAACCAGAACACACCACTGGGTGCCATTGAGAATGAATGGCACCATATGGCACATGTGCAGCGGCATGCGTTACCGCAACACGGTAGTGCCCTTCGTCTCTCCTTTGTGGACATAGCTTTGATTTTTATATCATACCAGAACAAAAAAAGTGACTCAGCAAGACATAGGGACTTGTCCCCCTGATGACGGAAAGCATCGGAATGGCTGTTATTTCTGGCTGCACAGACAATGCATTCATCTCTATGGCAGCAACCCGTCAACACACTACACACAGCAGTCGGCGATCTGCGCGCCGCGATCCTCGTCCGTTGACATCACACCGCAAACTTATACCGAACGCCGCGGACCCCTCCCTGTGTGGGCGTGTCGTAGGAGGAGCCAAACACCCCAAGCAGCAAACCAGCGCGCTACGAGCCTTCACGCCTCTAGTTCGTGACGTAACTGAGTGGGCGGGGTCATAGGGACGCCGCACATCTCCCTTCTCTGGCATCGAACTCACTTCGGAAGTTTTCCGGAAGTAGCCGAAGGTTGAGGGGCTCGCGACCGGATGGAACGCTGAGGAGCAGCGGTCAGAAGAAGGGAGCGAAGAGAAGGGGGGGCTGGTTGGGGTGACCCGGATCGGGCGGCGGGAGTAAGTGACTGGTGGGAAGGGAGGCGTGCGGCGGCGGTCCCGGCGAGCTGTGGGGTAATAAGTTATGGTGAGCTGCGTGGAGTAGGGGGTAGACATGTAGCGGTTGGCCATATCGTGACCCGGGGGGCTGGAGTGGTGACCCGGAGCGGGTGTGACAGAAGCGCTGTGTTGGACCGATGAAGCCTTTTTTTAATTTTTTTCCTGTGCCCACTTGTTCATGGCTTGCCCGGCACGGACTGTGACCGAGAAGGTGACCCGACTCACAGGTGAGTTCCCCTGCATGAAGGTGGGGGGTGTGTGCTCAGCCCGGGGTGAGGATGGCTGTGCATGGTGCGGATATCTGTGTTAATAATGTGTATCTGTGTAACTGTTACAATGTAACTCATCATTAAAGTGTAACTATACTCTTCCCCAGCCATGTGACTCTCCGCGAGCCCCCGTCATGTGGCTCTCCGCGAGCCCCCGTCATGTGGCTCTCCGCGAGCCCCCGTCATGTGGCTCTCCGCGAGCTCCCACTGGTATCTTCCCCCGTCTTCTTTTAGGTTTGGGTTCTTCGACCATCTTAATTGGTTGCGTCGCTATGATGTGATTCTGCCGCATGCGCATTCCTCCTGGAATATGGCGGAATTTTAGTTCAAGCGACTCAAGCTTTTGCAACACTTTTTTGATGTTATTGCCGTATTAGAAATTCCTGCGCCAAATTCCTGAAAGACGTGTAACAGTTTTCTTGCGTTTTCTGACGCATGCAACAAATTTTGTGTTCTCTCATGTGTGGCACTTCTACATTTTGGCGCTGTGGAGGGGGAAAGTTTGTTAACACATGCCGCCGTAATGATAAAGTGACTGTAAATAAAACCGCGTCCGTTTTGGAGTAAATTGTGTCGCACTCGTCGGTATAAATTCTGAGGCAATACTACAACAAATGCATATAAACCTTATCAGCTGTATGAACCCGTCGTAAATAGCGCCATTTGTTCCACAGATGGCCGCCTGATGGTGCTGCAGGGTGAGCGCGCAAAAATGCACATTGCCTGTGTAGGCAAGAATCCCAGCACCGGCACTGCTCACATTTGCTGGGAAACTGGAATTCCCCTTTAATGAATTCCAGGATGTAGGTCTATGCTGCACTATAAAGTCTGCCTGGTTGCTTTTTTTTTGTTTTTAAAATTTTTACTTGCAGTTCCACTTTATATTCTCAGTTCGAACACTGGTGCCCAGTCTGTGCCACTTTGCCACTTCGGGGTGTAGTTATAAAAAGTTTGTACGGGGAGCAGTCCTGCGAACGTCTGTGTTGTAGATTCACAGCACTTTATGGCCACTAGATGGCGCTGAGTATGGGAAATTCCTTGGCGCCATCTTGTGGCCATAGTGGTCTGCGAATGTTAGCCGTCATTCACACTTAGCGTTTTGTAGCGCTTTTTCTGCCACCCCCGCCCCCAAAACCATTCATTGCTGGGGCCATGTTCACATCTGAGCGTTTTGTCGCTTGGAGCAAGTACATAAGCTTCTTTTTGGCAGATTCTGCACTTCTTGGGCCCCATAGACTTCATTAGAAATGCTCATAAATGTGCATTCCATTCACATCAATCTGTCAAGATCTGCTCGCAAAAACGCGTGACTTTATGTACGCACATAAAAATGTGCAAAAAAAAAAGGCGCTAAAAACGTGCATATTTGATGTCGCTCAGGTGTGTATGAGGGCTGAAACTCAAGACTTGCAGAGGTGTTTGCTGTGCAAACGTTTTATAAATACACCCCTGGCTGTGTGGCCCTCAGGGGACCCTGCAGACTGTGGTCTGTGTTATGGTGCTTACCCAAGCCAGTGAAGGAAAATTATTGTTTTAGACTGGCTTCTACCTAAAGTGTATTGCGAAACCTCCACTATGTCTTATGTTGGGGTTGATCAGTGCCGTCCGTCCGTTTTTTTACTACGGGCGGACGGCAAGAGGTTAACTAAAAGTTTTTTTTTTAAAGACGATTGTAATTTGCAATTGTAGCTTGAATTGGCACATACGGCGATACCTGACGTGTAGCGCAATCGTCAGTTTTGTACGTAGGGGTTAAACGACTTGTGTTTACTTTAGTATTTGGGCAGGGGACTTTAATTCCCTCACAAGCCCCCTATGTGATGGCACATTGGAGATGACATGTTCTCTTTTAACGTGACATTAGTGGTCTATTAGGCCCTCAGTGTCAACTTTTCACTTCAATAGCTTTAGCTGGGGAATGACCGCTACCTGCTGAGGAAGCCAAATGTAAACACAGCAGGCAGTGGCTGGGGGCGATAGCCGGCCTGCTATTGGCTATTTCAAGTTGCAATAGCAGGCCGGCTATAGCACCCACCCACTGCCTGCTGTCAATCAGCAGGGGAGGGACCTGAAGGAGAAAGTATCTGACGCACCCAGAAGTGTGCCCAGTCTTGAGCGTTCAGCAAGATTATTTCCTCCAGGCAGCAGAGTCTGGCAGTGGGGACCGGTGGATATGAAGCATTATTTTTGCAGGTATAATAATGCAGCTACCCCGCACTACAAGGGGTTAAGTGCTTGTTTTCATCTAGGGACAAAGAAAAGATATACTCACCTGAACCTCACAGCTGGACATGATGACACAGCACCTTAGACCACCGGAATGGAGGTGGAGCGAGGCTGCAGGGACTGGTCTAGCAGACCAGCTGATTTTGAGGTTCGGGTGAATATATCTTTGGTATTTTGGTCCCAGAGAAAGTGGTGTCATCTGTCTTGCTGTGCTGCATGGCAGAGTTCAGATTTAACCCCTACCCATAGCTCCAAACAATTTTCTGTTTACTAAAACTAATTTGTTGGAGGTCAATGACAAAAATGTCTCTTACAGTGGTGGTCGTAGAAAGAATGGCCTTCCTTACAGTGGTGGTCGGTAGGAGGAATGGCCTTCCTTACAGTGGAGGTCGGTAGGAAGAATGGCCTTCCTTACAGTGGTGGTCGGTAGGAGGAATGGCCTTCCTTACAGTGGTGGTCGGGAGGAGGCATTGCCTTCCTGCGATGGGTGGAAGTGGTGT